GTTGGGGAATCGAGTGGCTGGAGTCTACCCCTTGGGAGGTTTGGTTGCTATATCACTATATATACATATATCTGTTGGATATCGGATGATTTGCTGAGTCCTGGTGAGTTGTTCGAAACTCAAAACATCGAACCAACAAAGCTTCGTTAATGTCAATGTATTGGTTGGGGCGATGCTTGATGTGTTGGGTCATGAATCCATCTATGTTCTAATTGGCAAGGGTCACTAGCTTGGGAGCCACCAAATCACCTTGTAAACGAAAAAAAGTGCAGATTTTAAGGGAAAACCATCCAAGAGTAGAGGATGTTCTGTTCATTGCCCAAGGGATTGATATTAGGCTATGGGAAAGGAGATCTGAAGTTGTTGAGACCCACTATATAAAAAACAAGAAAGTATTGTGGTAAACCCAAAGCCATAAACCATCCCTAATAAAAAACGATTTTGATGGGTGGTAAATACTCTCCCCAAATAGTAAGTTTATGTTTAATTTATAGGCTTTACCACATTAGCTATGGTTTGCGATCATCTGATTTGCTCAGATTTCCCACCATGAGGCGTTGATTTCCATGGTGGCCCGTTTTGGAACCCTGATTTTTGATCTGTGCCTAGGCCTACCCATCTTGGGGGGGGGCATGAGCCACGTCCGTTTGCCCACTGTTTCCCAACCTGGCTGCTTATGTAACTAAAATCCAGCCAGCCCTTCGAGGGCCAATCCGACCGGAAGGGTCGCAACTTTGCATCCCAGTGACCCCCAAAAATTATAAAAGCCACGGTTTGGGAGTCCCCAATATAGAGAAAATCAATACAGTAATGTTACCCTCTGGTAATTTGTTACATAGCTAATTGTTGAACATGGCCCAGTCGAAATGAAATAGTTGATTTGCCATGATTTTCCCATTAAACATGGTGGATCTTTCCATCCTTTTTTGTATGTTTACCAGATTTTCCCCGATGAAAATGATGCAAAGATCTGATCCAGCGATTTCTGCAGCTTCCGCCAAGGGGTTCACAAAGGAGCCCCGATGAGTTGATCCACATTGAAGTTGCATCAATCATGGACCAAAAGATCCATATTTAGCTGGATATGATACGGTAACTACATTTACATATACGGATTTTTAAATATACAAACAGGTATTTTAGACTACCTTCGGGAACGTTTTCCTTGGCCCGCCCAGCCATTTAAACATACGGAATTCAATTCATTTAAACAAACTGCAACTGCATTTAAATATACGAACTGGTATTTCATACTACCTCCGGGGCCTGGCGGTCTGGCCCGCCCTCCACATATTTAAATGTTGTTACCGTATATTTACTGGTGCGTTTTACGCAGGGAATGGATGGGTTGCTGGGGTTGCTGGGATGATTATTACTAGTTACTAGTGATTATGGAGATATGACCTGGAAAATAAATTTTTGGTATATGCCATGGCGATGATATTTATGACATTTTATGACCGTCCAATTTAGCGATGATATATGCCATGCTAAAATAAATTGACCTATTCAACTACCCTTGCTATATGGTCTATGGCCATCCATCCCATAGGAATCGAAACATCATGTGCAATATAAGTTTTTTTAAAGAAACCATGAAACTGGGTTGATGACCATCCACCAAGAACAACAATCCAACTAGACCATGGCATCTATGTGGTTGGTTTAAACATGGAAAAAAAACAACAACAACTATTTTTGAGCTGAAACCTCACCAACTCGGTGGACCCTTCCTACAGATCTTGGGCTGTAGCCGCGGCGCGCCTTGGGCGCGACGCAGCTCTAGGCTTTGGAGGTTCAACCGGCTGTGGACAGGTGATGTTCGCGCCCACGTTTTCGGGCCGGAAAAGCTTTCCACTTCATGGTACTCATGGTAAAGCCAATGGCCATCCTCAATTGGGCCTCAAAACAATTGAGTTTACCACTGGAGTTTGGGATGTGTCTGCTACCATTTCCGTGAACCACAGGTTAGTCATGTCATGGGGACGGCCGATCTGCAGAAAAATGTCTAGTTCGACATATCCAGCATAAGCCATAGAATTCACCATGTGAACCCGCAACTTAGCTATTGATGCTATTGTGTCAGGGGGGTTCCACCCTGAATGTGAATCGCTGACAAGTGAATGATCACCCCTAGAAAATGACAAGCAATCACTATGAAAATAGAAAGGAATTGTTTTTCTACTTCTTTTTGGAATTCAAGCGTTGTAGGTCAGAGTCACTGTTTCCGTTAGAAATACATCGTACTCAATCCAAGATGATTGTCTGCCTGTTTGCCCATGGATTTTTCTCGAAAGTTCGGGGTAAGGACTTAGGGCCATCAAATAATGTCAGGTAGTCAAAGATGGCCAAAGAAATCCGACAGGGCCAGGTCAGAATCCCACAGCGGACTGGTGAAATTTTGAGAAAAACTGCGATGTGAGATGAGTCCAAAGCAGACATGATCATGAACCGTTTCTATACCTCATCCCATGCTCCTAATATTAAACACCCCCATTGTGTGGTCCCAAATATGAGGAAAATCCTTTACTGCACTATGGTTTCTGGGTGGTGTTTAATGACACCGGCAAGGATTCTGAATTTTGACAGATTCATCTGCATTTGCTCTTGATTTTCCAGTTGCAATCATAAAGCGCCATTCCATACCAACTTTATGGTTTCATAAGTGATCATAAGTGACAAAATTTGTTGGCAGCTGCTCATGTGGGATGTTTGCCAAAAATCTTAGGCTGTATCACCTTCCACGACCCATCACCAGTGGAGCATGCAGATCGTTGCAGATCGTTGCAGCTGTGGGCAATTTTTCTGATGGGTTCGTTTTGTCGCCACAAAGAGAAGTGCATGACTTGGAGCAAAACACATGCTAGGGTTCGACAAGTTTAGTGTCTCAAAGTGTTGAATGGTTCAGAATGAAAACTACATGTTGCACCTGGATACACTATAAATTTACATTTAATTTACATGTGTGTATATCTATATATACTTATATTATTACTATTAATTGTTTATATATTACATACAGTATATGTCTGGTCCTGGGGTTTAAATTCTGATCCGGCTACAGATTGTAACCTGCTGCTGAGCTGCAAAAATCCGCCAGCCTTTTAAGCAACACCTCCCGAGCGCAAAATGCCGAGGTTCCCACCGACTTGGAACAGTTTAGTTTGGATTTGCTTCTGGTTGGCCCAACAAGCGGAAGAACATCATAGTCGTTGAATCGGTTGAATGCATTTTTTTGAGTATGGCTGAATATTAGGATATCAATGGATATCCCATTTTGCTGGGATGGATTCAACATCAAGACCTTTTAAAAACCCATTTTGTTGCATCAATTCGTTGGATTGGGCTAAGGGAAAATCTACAGGAAACCATGGTTTTTACCATCAAATATAGTGGTTTCCTGTAAATTTTCCCATCATCCAATTCTATGATCAATGTGATGTCAAAAATAAGTTCAACGATCAACATCCCATGATATCCCATCAAATTTTCCTCCATAGCTCCCCCGAAAGAATCAACAAGAATCGGATCTTCAAAAACCCCCCCTTCCAGAACTGGGATTGAAACCAAAAAAAACAAACGTAAATCTTCAACCCTTTTATATATCTTTAACCCCTGATGTTTTAATTAACCCGTTAATGCTACCAGCTTGGAGCCGCCGGGAGCTCGGCCTCCAGAGATTGCGGTAGTAGTTCGGCCCAAAATCCGAAACCTGGCGCCAGACTCTGCCAGGACCAAGGGCGGGCGATTTGGGGCATCGGGTACCCAGTTAGATATCGGCTAAACCACATAGACATACATACACAGAGATAGATAGATAGATAGATAGATTAGATTAGATTAGATTAGATTAGATTAGATTAGATTAGATTAGATAGATAGATAGATAGATAGATAGATAGATAGATAGATAATTAGATAGATAGATAGATAGATAGATCAGTGGGGCTGCTACAATTCTCCCGGATTACTGGATCCATGTACTGGCCATCACCGATATGTTCCCAGGTTATTGAAATATGGAAACCATTTTTGGGGACTATGTTCGTTTACCGCTTGGATTCGGATGAAGTCACTGCCCCCGCAAAAAATGTGTATGTATGTATGTATGTATGTATGTATGTATGTATGTATGTATGTATGTATGTATGTATGTATGTATGTATGTATGTATGTATGTATGTATGTATGTATGTATGTATGTATGATGTATGTATGTATGTATGTATGTATGTAAAAAATGTGTATGTATGTATGTATGTATGTATGTATGTATGTATGTATGTATGTATGTATGTATGTATGTATGTATGTATGTATGTATGTATGTATGTATGTGTGTACATGTATATATATATATATATCTATCTCCTTACTTACATATACATATAGGGACCATCACCATCTCGGGGGGAGGGGACCACCAGACGCTGGACCAATATATATATATATATACATATACATATATATATATATGATTATATATGAATTTATGTAAATGAATGTATATGTATATGCGTTAACAAATACCTTGTGGCTTAAAACTACTTACGGAAATACTCATTACTTACACAGTTGAGCAGTGGTGGGATTCCCCATAATAACCAACAGGGGTGTGTAGCCCATTCCTCAGTTGGATGAATGGAATATCCCCAGATGAAAAGGCTACAAACTTCTAAGTGGGATGTACATCCATCGGTAATCCCAGGGTTTTCAATGGGGTCAAGACTTGATGTGCATGGGAGGATGCTTTGCTTCAGCAGTTCCGAAGGCAAGATGCTCATCTTCCACTGCGAATGGTTTGCATATAACTTATTATGTCGTCGTCGTCGCCCTCCTCGTCCTAATATCCATCATATTCATCATCATCATCATCATCATCATCATCATCATTGCTAACCAAGGATATACCGCACAAAGCTAGACGCTAGACCCTTAAACATCATCCCAAACAAATCCAACCCCCAAACTCAACACCAAACTCACCTTCAGGTCGTCGCTCATTCATCCAGCCATTCCATGGTTACATTGCTGTCCAGGGCTTTGCGCATCGCTGCGTAATTTCTCGGAAGATGAGTGACCTTGAAATCCTTAAAGGTCACCTGAGACTTCGAGCAGGGCCAAGCAGATTGAAAATAAGGCATGTAGTCACGTCGATACATAGATACATATGATATCTATATCTGAATGTATGTATACATATATATATATATATAGTATGTATATATATATATATATATGTATGCATACATATACATATATATATATATGTGTGTGTGTAGAGCCTTGCTTAGCGCCGAAAATGGAAATTCGAATCAGAATGTGGAGATGGGATGCTACAAGTTGGAAACTGCGGCTGGCCCATTGGGGGCCCGCCAAGACGTCGTACGGTGGCCCTTTTTATTGTTCAAGGTGTTGCTGTTAATTTTCCGGCCTGGCAAAGTAACATAGCTATGGAAGCCATGGCCCTAATCGAAATAGATGGTTTACCGGGATGGAAAATCACCATTTTTAATGGGAAAATCCACTATAAATGGTGATTTTCTATAGCTATGTTATATTACCAGAGGGTAATTACCAATTCCCCCTATTGAATAGCCTCAATAAAATCATATAAAATCACTGGTCTAGTATTGGATCTATTCCTTCTGGGGGACCATATGGGTGTATCTAAGTGTATTTCAGGGATTGTACGATTATTGTTGGTAAGTGTTGATGAATTTAAACGGTCAACAGACTCGAGTTGTCACTCAAACAACCATCCTTGATACGTCCATGTCACATGTCCACACAAACAATCACCCACGTGCAGTATCTTGCAGTGACCCAGAATTTCATTCTACCAACAGTAAAAGTCATGACCATTGACCAAGACTGCAGTGAACCCAAATATATACCATGAACCGCAGCCAAGTTACCTAATTTTACGACAAATGGAGGATACTGAAAGCCAACGCACCGAAGACAAATAGCTTTATGTCATGAGTTTTGCCACATGGGGATTTCCATAGTGGTAGTACCCCAACAGCTGGATGGTTTATTTCATGGAAAATCTCCACAAAAAATGGATGATTTATTGTGACTACCTCCATCCCATCGGAAATCCAAAGTGATCCCAGGGCTGGGATAATATGAGTTAATCCAAGGCTTCCCCAAAAAATCAATAGGTATAAAACATTTCAGGGTTTCGATTTTGGTGGCATTTAAAATTAGAGAAATTACTCATGATCCAAACCCTTACACTCCATAGTTTCCAGATTTCCAAAAAAATCCATCTACTTGGTGCTGTACAACCCCCCACATGGAATTACAAGTTATGATCCATCCTACACATGGGCCGATTCATGTGGAATAGGATTTGCAGAGCATGGCTGCAAACCGATTGATCCAATTGGCTGGATGACTGGATGAATAGCAAATTCCAATCTGAGCTGGCTGGCTGTGTCTTAAAGTCTGAAAATCAGGGTTCATGTTGGCATGTTTCCATTTTTTTCCCCATGAAAATTGCCATTTGGGGGTCAATGTCCCCACTTTCAGGTGCCACGCATCTAAGCCATTTTCACACCGTCCAGTCAAATCACCAATTTTCACAGGGGAATCCCAACATTTGAATGCGTCTAAAGATAGAGTATTAGAGTATTACCCCAAGATTGCCACTTTAATAGGGAAAATGATGAGAAACACCATTGGATGTACGGGTTTTCTGTCGCCCATGTTTAGACAAACCAATCCACGACTAGGGTCAACTTTGAAATTTAGATGGCATATATGTATACATAGCTGTCCATCTATTCTTGAGTTTGCTCCAATATACACATTTATATGTATAAATATATGCCTGTATGCTTTGTGCATATCATATTCATGTGTGTTTTATACATGTACATATAATATATATTATCTATCATTGTGTGTATATACACATACTTTAAATACTAACATATCATATATGGTGCTTTCCTAAAGTGTGGGTGTACTCCTCAATCATCCCTTTTTACTTTCGGATTTTGCATGAAATAAACAAACTAGTCTGGGAACCCCCATGACTATGGAAACCCCCATATCCACGTGTTAAGTTATGTTACAGTACATCTGCATGTATTTCCATATAATTATACATATACATATACATATACATATACATATACATATACCTATATATCTATATATTTAGATGTGATACGGTCACACGATATACTGTAATACACTAAGTTACCCGCTAAATGTCTACTATAATGATATACTGTACACGCTACGTAGCTGCTATTGCCGGCAACTCATCGCCGAGACACCGACGGACCACACTCTCGCTTTCCATCCTTCTCCCAGGCCGCCTTTTGGACCGGAACGGTGAAACTGGGTCGTCAACGGGGAGATATATAAGGATTTAATAGAGATTAATATTGATTTCATGGTGATATATATATATATATATATATCATATGTGTATGTATATACATATATATGATATGTATATATATATGTATATGTATATGTATATGTATATGTATATGTATATGTATATGTATATAGCCAACTAAGGGGAACATCAGTTGATGGGAATATGATTTTGCTAAGCAACTTAACTAACTCAACATGTTTTTTAAATAGAGATCCCAATGAGCAATTTTCATGGACATTTTGCCGTTATGAAAGGGATTGACCATAGGAATCGATGGGATCAAGCAGCCAGTTTCTGGTGACTTAAGAGGATTTAGTTTGCATCAAAAAATGGGATTCATGGGATATGATATAACTAAGAAAAATTGCTGGCGGAAAATGGGATATGCCCTATACCCAGAGATTAATCCCGTCCCCCTATAATAAAAGCTAGGGTCCATCTCTAATTTTGGAAAATTTCAGATTGGCCAATTTGACTTTTAACTGATCCCCTTTAGAAAACAATATTTTAAAAAAAAAACTACCATTTGTGGGTTTCGCCCCCTAATACTAAAAACTAGTCAACCCCGGGGTGTTTATTATTAGGTTCCGTCCGAACATTTTAGTTTTTTATATTAGGATTTTTAATTTGATATTAGGGGGAAGCTTCAAAATCCAATGTTTGGCAATATTTAAATATAAAGGAAATTTAATTGATTTTGAAATCGAAAAAAAAAAAGTTTTTTATTAAATGTCTTAATTTAATATTAGGATTCGCTTCGAAATAACTTTGTTTGCAATATTTTAATTGCGTTATAAAAAGGAAAATTAATTGATTTTGAAATCGAAACAAAAAAGTCTTTTTTATTCAGGGTTTTAATTTATTATTAGGGTCCGCTTTGGTGCCCCAATAATAAATACCCCCCTAATAATAAAAACTACCTGAGATGTTTATTATTTGGGGGGGTTATTATTAAAGGGATTACCTTTATTTATTTGGAAAAAGATGGCAAAATGGTGGACTTGTTGGGGCCGTGGGGTCCCCATGAGCCAATTTTCAGACCGACCCAAAGGGGAAGTTGACCACGATTTAACAATGAAACATGTGGATTTAATATGATTTAATGGGATAGACATGTGCAGTGAATCGGAAAATGATAGGATACAAAAACATCACCCTGACTTCAGGTCTGTGGTTGAAGTGTAGCAACCATTGTGGCGACATTATGAGGATGTGCATTTATATATATATATATGTAGAATGGACATATCATCAACAAAATGGTCATTTGATAGAAATCGATGTAGGGGTCCCCAAACAGATAGAAACGTGTTCGAGGGTGTCATAGAAGATTTTTCCCTCATAAATTCAAGGTGGCCAATTGTTCTATCTATGCAAGGTTTGCTACAAAGTAACCCAACCAAAAGGAGTCAACTAGCCCGGGGGTATAACCAAGCATCCATCTTCGTGTTTTGTAATGTGGAGATGTCCTTTTTCCACCCGTTGGTTGATAGAAACAGAACGGAAATGGATTGATGCAATTGGCATATCCGTATATCAAGCGATTCCTCTGCTGACTACCACCCTTCTGTTCCTGTTCCTAACTTGGCCTAACTTGCGTGTTAGTACGCTATGGATGGCCGGGATCCAATCACCGACTCGATCTCAACACCTTGCAGAATTCTTGGCCGTCGTATCCTCGCGCACCGGAGATGGTGACTGGAGCCGGAAAAAAGAACAGGGAGGATCATGGACTCGTAGCCATTTAGTATCTGGGATCCATGTTGGGCATGAATCAGTTTTCACGAAGATGAAGAGGTCTCTGTGTGTGTATACATATATAGCCTGGGTGTGTGTATATGTGTATGTATGTGTATGTATGTGTATGTATGTGTATGTATGTGTATGTATGTGTATGTATGTGTATGTATGTGTAGGTATGTGTATGTATGTGTATGTATGTGTATGTATGTGTATGTATGTGTATGTATGTGTATGTATGTGTATGTATGTGTATGTATGTGTATGTATGTGGATGTATGTGTATGTATGTGTATGTATGTGTATGTATGTGTATGTATGTGTATGTATGTGTATGTATGTGTATGTATGTGTATGTATTTTTAATTTTATGTGTATTTATTTTTAATTGTCTTTTTATGTTATTTTTTATTTCTTTTTCTTTAGTTTTTTAATGGTAATTTTTCTTTCTTTGTATTTATTTGTATGTATTTTTTAATTCTTTTTCTTTATTTTTCTTTTTTCTTTCCTGTTTTCCCTTTCTTTTTTCTTTCTTTTTACCTTTATGTTTTCGTTTCTTTGTATTTCTTGTGTTCCTGATCCTGTGTGTCTGTCTGTGTGTCTGTCTGTTCTGTCCTTCTGTCTTCTGTGTCTGTCTTTCTCCAGGTCCTGGTCTGTCCTGTCTCTGTCTGTCTCCGTCTGTCTCCTGTCTGTCTCGTGTCTGGTATCTGTCTGTCTGTGTCCTGTCTGTGTCTTTCTGTGTTCTTTCTGTGTCCTGTCCGTGTTGTCTGTCTGTGTCTGTCTGTGTTAGTCTGTGTCTGTCTGGTGTTCTTTCTTTGCTCTTCTGTGTCTGTTCTGTGTCTGTCTGTGTCTTTCATGTTGTCTGTCTGTCTGGTAGTCATTTCTGTGATCTTCTTTGTCTGTGTCTTTTCTGTTTGTGTCCTTTCATTTTTCCTGTCTGTTTCTTTTTTTGTCTGTTTTGTGTCTTCTGTGTCCTGCTTCTTTTGTCTTTCTTTTTCTTTTCTTTTGTCTTTCTTGTCTGCTTTCTTTCTTTCTTTCTTTTTTCTGTCTCTGTCTCTTTCTGTCTCTTTCTTTTTCTTTCTTTTCTCTTTCTTTTCTTTCTTTGTCCTGTTCCTTTTCCTTTCTGTTCCAATGTGCTTTTTCTCATTTCTTTTTTTTTCCTTTTTCTTTCTGTGTTTCTTTTGTTTTCCTTTCTTTTTCTGTCTTTCTCTTGGTTCTTTTTCTTTCTGTTTTTAGGTATGATGTTGCATGTAGGTGTATGTATGTGTATGTATGTGTATGTATGTGTATGTATGTGTATGTATGTGTATGTATGTGTATGTATGTGTATGTATGTGTATGTATGTGTATGTATGTGTATGTATGTGTATGTATGTGTATGTATGTGTATGTATGTATGTGTATGTATGTATGTATGTATGTTGTATGTATGTTGTATGTATGTGTATGTATGTGTATGTATGTGTATGTATGTGTATGTATGTGTATGTATGTGTATGTATGTGTATGTATGTGTATGTATGTGTATGTATGTGTATGTATGTGTATGTATGTGTATGTATGTGTATGTATGTTTATTTCTTTTTAATTTATTTGTCTGTCTTGTTTATGTTGTGTCTGTCTGTGTCTGTCTCTGTCTGTCTCTTGTCTGTCATCTGTCCTGTCTGTCGTTCTGCCTGGCTGATCTGTCGGTCGGTTGTCTCTCGGTCTATTCTGTATTTAAGTATGCATACATGCATGTATCTATCTATGTATGCATGCATGCATGTATGAATGTATGTATGATGTAGGTAGGTACGTACGTAGGTACGTACGTACGTATGTACGTATGTATGCATGTATGTATATATGTATATGTATATGTATTACGTATATATGCATATGTGTGTATGTATATATATATACAATTATATACATATGTGTGTATATGTATACATGTACTGTATATGACTGGCAAAAGAATTTCATCAATCCCTTCAATCCCTTCCTGCCATTCAATTCCAACGAATCCGGCGATATAGCTGATAGAAGCCATGGCCCATGTAGTTCGATGATTTACCTATTCAACATAGTGATGTTCCACTTCGCAAACTGATAGTTTACCAAATATCTAATTTGCTTGCTTTCCCAGTACTCCCAACATCAAACAGATATCATTTAAAATACTGATATACTCCAAACACTGATGTTAGGCCATACACTCCATACATATAAAATTAAATCACCTCCATCATATGTTTGAAGGCGCTTCGCCCCCATGATGGTTGAATCTCCGAGAGTTTCCTCCGAAGAGCTGACACACTATGGGTGTAAGTTAGATGATGCTATATGTGGGTTATGATGGCAAATCATAACCCATATGCTCAATGGTGCTGGAATATGAATCCCAACATTTGCCCGAACAAAATCACCCAGTTTTGTAGGTAAATATACCATACATGGAGCATATGGGTAAGTTATATAATAAAACAGAATATCCATATGTGAGTTATTTTTCAATATGTTACGTAGTCACTACATTAAACAATATCAAACAATAATTAATAATTACCAGAATCATTGTTAGTTATTGCTGATCCATATCCTAAGAAAATATAAAGTAAATAAATGGTTTGTTGACAAGCATTATATCCACCACGAATTATTCAGACTAAGATCGGTCCCCTGCCTTTTACCATGGTTTCTGGGAGGTATTTAAGGGCTTCGGGGGAAGAGGAAAACCACAAGAAGGTAAGAACAACCCAGTGATATGGTAATCTATATACCCTCTGGTAAATTGACATAGCTATGGAAAATCACCATTTTTAATGGGAAAATCATCTATAAATGACCATTTTCAATAGCTATTTTGACATAACCAGAGGGTAAAGGGTTCTTTAAAGGAATCATATGGACATGGATCCACCATATTACTTGGAATTGCGAGAAAAAACTTCATAAATTACTGTAATATCTGTAAATCTTGGATTCTATGATATGGGGATGGGTCAAAACCCTATCCCCCTGGTGAACATCAAAATAGCTGGTAAATGGATGTTCATCCCCCTAAAAATGGTATGTATAGGTATTGATCCATAGCCATATCTATGATGATATCATTCATGTGTATGTTCATTGTGAACTTGCTGCATTCTGCCTTTTTTCCACACAACGCTGCCCGTTGCCCTCTTCGCCAAAGGGGCCAGCACCGTCCAACCACGTCATGCCAGGATCCTGCCAATAACTGATGACCTAAGAAGTTCTGCGCTTAAAGAGGGAGAGTTTCCCGGCCTGGTAAACATATAAAAAAACCCATGGGAACATCACCAGGCGATTTTTTGGGGTAAATCACCAGGCTATTCATGGGAACATCACCAGGCTATTAATGGGTAAATCAACTATTTCGAATGTGCTAGCTATTCAATAGCTATGTAACAGTCATTACCAGAGGGTACCGAATGTTTTTTTTTGGGCCTTTTTTGTTGGTGAAGACTTCACTGATTTCACCCCAAGCATATCCAAGCAACATGGGAAACTTCCATGTGATTTCAGGTGACTTACTGTGTTTGTTCATGTTTTTCAACCGTTTTTTTTGGGTGTTTGTTCATGTTTTGAAAAAAGTTTTTTGTTCACAACTCTGGTGACGAAATCTGTTGGGACATCGCTCAGCTCGAAAAGAGACGCCGGTCCCCAAACTGGAAGAGTTCACCCTTTCCTATGCTGCATGAAATTAACAAATATGCCATGGTATTTGAACGGATGTGCTCTGTAGGTCATTCCTAAATTTATCTTAAAATACAATCTAGCATGCAAATCCAAATTCTGGGGCTGGTACAACGTGCTACGGTTATCTTTCCTTGGATTTGAATGGGGTGCCCGGAACTCCAATGGAGTTACCATCTGGTTATGACTCACAGTTTGCCATGGAAAATCACCATTTTTAATAGGTAAACCATCTATTTCTATGGGCCATTTTCCATATCTATAAATGGGCCATCTATACCATGGCTATGTTAAATAACCAGAGGGTACATCACCAAATTGTTTACGGGGTATACCGGTGAACAGGGACCACGCGAATGGGAAGGAGATATCCCGAAGTGCTCAGATGGTTTGCTTATTTGTCATCAGTTTGGCTACGCCATCTGGTCAATATATTAATTACCAAAGACGGACCCGTCATGTAATGTCATGGTAGTACTAAACAACCCATCTCCAACTGAGTTGCCCAATGAAAATTAGACCCAAGTCAGTCAGATGGTCAGGAATATTTAAGGAAACCTCTGCTTGTAGCTCCCACTGGCTCCCCATTTAGGGGCTCTTCAAATGGGGGACCCAAAAAAAATGGGTTTCAATACTCAAAGTCTAAAGACTTGGATGATTTGAGCACCCCTATGACTTAGGACAGCCCCCATCCCCATAGGGACTATCCGCATCCCCCATCCCCATCCGCATCCACATCCAGCACCGATGCCATGATGCCAGGGTCATCCCTTCGTTCAGCCGCTTGGTGAGCGTGGGAAAGATGTCTGCGAACTGCTCCGTGCTGGCGTGCAGGCGGCACCGGCCTTGAGTTAAGAAGACCTCAGGGCCCAGAAAAACCCAGGGACCGAGAGCCGGGAGGTGGCTGGCAATGGTATTTTCAATGGTGAAATCATGGTGAAATCATGGTGAATCATCGTGAATCGATCATGATGGATACTTAATGGGATATCTTATAAAATTTACCCATTACCCCTCCGGTGTCAGATGTAGCACTGGAAGATTCCCTAGAAATAGAAACCCATGATTTTCACTGCGAACTAAACCTCCATGTGCCATGTTTGATTGCAGGAAGGTATAAGTTATATACCCCTGTACTATATGGATTGTTAACAACATTCCATCTGGAAGGCACCCGCACTAGAGCACAGAATGGCACATATGTGCGTTTTTTTGGAATGATCTGACACCTCTTTGGGGGGATCTCTATGTTAAGGAATAGCACTCGATATTAGTGTCGGTGGAATTGGTTTTTGCCAAAGAGGATTCACTAAAATAGATTAGGATGATATTGAAGCATGTTCTGCCCATATATAATTACATTAGATAGGTCATATCTTATCCTACAATGTGAGGCCCCCAAGATAGCTAAGTTGGCTTATAACTCCAATAACTATGGTTTATGGTATATACTTATAACTATAGTTACTGGGGCTTATAAAACAACCAAACATCACTGGGGGGCCTCACATTGTAGATCTCATCCTATTCTGTTGCCATCCCGTTTTCCGCAGCAACCGGTGCCACTTTTTCGGTTGAATAATCCCAGGTCCCCTCCGATCCCACGAAAGATATGCGACGCGGCTTCAAGCACCAAAAACTCACAGAGCTGTGGAAAACCCCGCCATATTTGTACATTATGATAGTGGGATAATAGTGGTTAATAGTGGTTAATAGTGTTAATAGCCTGGCCTAAAGATTGATATTGGTTATCCTCTGGTAAATTAACAGTTGGACCTTGAAAATCACCAATTTTTAGAGGAAACTAATCTTTCAAGCCCTATCTGGCAGGGTCTATGTTAATTTACTGGAGGGTATATCATGTTAGTTTTCCACAGCCTTCCAAAGAAAACATAGCTGTGGAGAAACACCAAAAACTACATATCATGTTCCCAAAAGTAAGCCATGCACTTTTCTTCCACGTTTTTTGAGCCATTCTAAACCTTTACCGGTCCCGGGTGCACCCTTACCGTTATCAGCCGAAAAATCGAAGCCCTTTGGATTGATCTTTGGCGATCCAAGGAACGTTGATGCTCTTCATTTTCCAATGGTCCTGGCGGCAATGGAGACAGACGCCAGGCAAACAAGGCCCTTTTTATGGAAAAAAAACTCAAAAATAAGGGGTGTTGAACATGGTTTCACAATACTGAAATGGGGACATATTGACATATTGGTAAGTATACAATACAATAGTCAATAACCATTGGTCTTAGTATTGTCGATTGCTCATATTTCTGTTCCCTTACATCAACCAATGACCAATAATGACCACATTCTGAGACCAGCTGGCGTGCCTGGGGACTTCAATCATCCCAATCGGGAAATTTTTTTGTGAATGGATTTGAATGGTAGCAAAAACGTCAAAGATAACTACTATTCAACTACTAAGGCAGGTGTCTTGGGTCCACTAGTCCATCATGGTCGATCCGATGGACGCTCCATGGCTCGGGGATGATTTATATTGATTTATGCCATTTATGCCAACCTGTCTGTGTGGAAATGCCGTTCATTTTCCTTCAACACCCTGAGATTCAAAGATGTAATTTTGATCAAACCATCCCGTACTTCAGCGTAGCCAACCATTTGACTCGGGCAAAAAAAAAAGTGGCCAATCGTGGAAAACAACAACAACAACAACAACAACCACAACCACAACCACAACCACAACCACCAACACCCAACACCCAACACCCAACACCCAACTTCCAACACCCAACACCAACGCCACAGTAACTCCCAAAGGTTGACGCAGATGTCGGCCCCCTGGGCCACTATCCCAGACCTCGTCCACCAGGAAATCCAATGAAGCCTCAAACGGTTGATATGTGTCCTGGGCTTGGCGGTGTGGGGTATGGAAAATGAAGGGGGTTCTTGTGGGATAAAAGAGTGGAAACACAACTTTTGGGATAATATAGGACATTGAGTGCTTTGTCCATGAAATCCTTTGTCCCTGAACTGAACTGAGCGGGAATTTGTGCCAACGACAGAGATCTGGCTGAAGAATTCACCAAGCTGAAACCTTTGGTTCTTTTGGGATTTTCCGATAATCCCCCTACAGTCACCAGCATCTACCAGTCACATCGGCCAGAGGGGTTGCTAGTTCACGTCGCTTGGTATATTTCTAGCATCTTAGGATCCAGAGATTTGCGCAATGCCTTACAGTACATTACTCCAGATCTGGGTATGCCCTCTGAACAACGCTGATTGGCATAGAACCATTTATAATCATCTATACAGATTGGATGGTCCCTAAAAGCAACCACTGAAACTAGACACCAAAAACATAAGATGTCAGCGGCAAGAGATGTGTACATCATAAGTGAAGCATGTGGGCATACCCAATGGAAAGTGGGAACACAACCGGCCAAAATAATGTTGGCTGCAACCAATGGCCGCGGGCAATCATACTGCTGGTTTGCAGTTTCAATCGGTCCCATAGTTCATTGGGAACATCATCATCATCATCATCATCATCATCATCATCGCCATCATCATCGCCATCGTCATCGTCATCATCATCATCATCATCATCATCATCATCACAGTAGGATGAAACATTGAATCACCAAGTTCTTGCATCACCATTTCATCTTGTAATACACGGTACATTGACGTATCTGACATCGCCACGTCGCCGATGTTCATCCCCGGCTGGTGAAATCCACGTGTCCGTGTCCGTTGTATCCCAAAAAAACATCCAAACTTTTACAGACTTTGCGTCTCCAGAAGTTCGTTGATAAATTTATTATATATTTAATAAAGAGAATCCTTCTACCATATCATCATTGTTTTTTTTTTAATATCCCACTCAACCCATAGCCAGGGTCCACCAGTTACTATCGTTACTTTTTGATGAAATCCCCAATGTTGTTGGTTAAAACAACCATTGCTGCCTGCCGGTTCAATCCCTGTTTAACTGTCGCTGGAATAGGGATTCGATCTCCTGAGACAATCTCAAATCAGAAATAAACAAGTATGATTTTACTGCAACCATTTACTTGAAATAAATAAATCTGATTATAAACATCAGTATTGATGTCTAATCTCCTGGCACACTCTCAATCAGAAATCAAATCAGATTGATCAGAAATAAACATCATTTATGGTGACCTCATTCTGAGGTCACCTTCATGATTCTCCTGACCTCCAAATGCAGTGCTTTGTCATGTTTCCCCTCATGAAAATGCAATTTGCCCAGTATGATCCATTTTCAAACACTCATACTCCCACTAATTACTGTATATTTCCATTGCAGTATATTTCGATATCAATTGCCAAATTTGAACAAACTACTAGAGATACATGCCCATTTTTACACCCATCATATACCCGTTATTTTCCCATATCATCTACCCATTATATATCCATAATTATAAATATATTAGTCAAGCTATATTCCCATATTATATTCCTATTTATAGTAGAACCCTGGGTTATTGGTTTAGTTGGTTTTTCTCAAGTCATTTTTTCAGGATGTATATAACTATTAACTATACATATACATATATATGTATATATAATCGTATGTATACATATATATATATATACTATATATATATACATGTGTAGATATATCCCCATGGTTACTTAGTATACTCCCATATGATTTCCCATTCTATCCCCAAGTCCGCCAAGTTGCGATGCATTTGGCCCCCGGCCCGTACTGCTCCGGCGACCAATCCCTCGGTCCAAGCCATTGCTTCCCCGCCACGGTGTATCCTGCGCCTCCACAGCCCACCTGCACACGTGGGAATCAATGGCCATGGCAGCATTGGTGGTTTCAACTCCTCTGAAAAATAGTGGTTGTATAATGGGGGTTAATGGTTAATATTAATGGTTAATATATGCTTAATGATGGTTAATAATATTCTGGTTGGTGGTTGGAACATGTAGTTTTATGTACCATTTGGTTATGACTAACAGTTTGCCATAGAAAATTACCATTTATAAGAACGGTAAACCATCTATTTCGATTAGGGCCATGGCTTAACCATGGCTATGTAACAAATAACCAGAGGGTACTAGTAATTCATCTAGAAATATCTATAAATCGGATGTCATGGGAGAATTCTGGGATGATGATGGGATGATTTTTTGATAATCGGATGATGAAAAAGACCTGAACAGTTTTAACTGTCTCAGAAAACCTCATTGAAGTGATATTTTTCGACTAAGTTGCTGGAGTTATAATCCCAGGTATAACTGTTAAGGTTCTGTACCATATGCAAGGTCTATGGAAGGGCTAAATTTCAGGGGTAATACCTCCAAAATATATGGCTTGATATTAGGTGCAGTACCTCCAGGTTAGGTACCTGAAATGGCCATGGCAGCTATATGGCTGGGAGGTCCCAGCTTAGTGGGAAAATCTAGGAACATGTTCTGTAAATGGAGGTTTCATGCTGGGAAAATCCTTGAACTAAATGGTATGTAAATGGGAAATACATCTATTCAACGGGAAATTCAGGATCCTAAAATGGAGGTACTGTACCATAAGGCCATATTTTGTGGGGATATTACCTTACATAGGCCTTATATAGGCCTTACATATGGTAGGTACCTCCAATTTAGGTTCCTGAAACGGCCATTGATCTATCAACAGGAATATGTGTGGATACCGCCGGGGGAGAAATCAACATGAATTCAAACCCCTAGCAAGAAAATATGGCAAATTCATGGCCTGGGGACTACTATATCTCCATGCATGGACATGCCGTTCAAATGAATGAAAAAACGAACCCAGGAAGTCATATAGCCCAAAGACCCGGGCCATCAAATTGGGAGGCTTTCCCCACAAGACTGGCTTTACCATGTATGAATTGGAAACGGGATCGTCAAATGCCCAACTTTTACCACGGCAGCGCGGTATGACTCAAGGGCCCTAAAGCCAAATGTCATCGGGGGCATGTGATCACTTGGCTATACAAAATATACATTAGACAGGTCAAACTCACACTCAACCTGTTCTTCAAGGATCACATGATGCTAGTGAAAAAGTTGGCTCTAAGGCTTCTTCTGTACACGATAAATGCACTCCTTCAAAACGCGGATGATGAGGTCCGGGCGCATGCTCTTGGTCAGAGCATCCGAGACCATAGTTCCTGTAGCAATCCAGGTAACAATGTCTCCTCCGCCATGATGCATATCCCAGGTCCTCCGGCCGTCTTGCCAAAGTGACTCATGAATCGACTGCAACTCAATGCCGAGTCGTTTGTCTGCGACCCTGCCGAGTACCTCATTCGCAAGATGGTCTGTTAAAGACCTGCAGTCTGAAAGCATCAGTTGTGGAATACAGCTGCGGCTGTCATCCAACCATGTTTTCATCGAGTCAAGTTGGCCCATCAGCTCGGCCAATGCTCCACGTAGCTTGTCACCGCTCTCTTGTCCAGCCTGCAGTGAATAAGCCTCGCATTGAAGAGTGCTGCGGCATACTCGCCGAATTGTATTTGATGCAAATCCCAATGGCATCACCCTGTACTAAGACCACAAAATGCAGATATTTTCACTTTAGGCACTTAATGAAGATATTAGTAGTTATATGAACTTATCATAGAAGTGATTTTTCCTTATTTTGACTAATTTTCACTTATTTTCACTTATTTTCACTTATTTTCACTTATTTTTTTAGGATCAGATTTGATTATAGACGATGTATTTTTCTTTTATACGTTTTTTGAAATTAGCCGTCGGTTTTTTTTCCTTTGGAATAAATGATATGTTTTGTCTTTCTTTCAGGAAAGGTATGCTGTCAGGAAAGGACACTTTCTGTAGTGAACAGTTTCTGGGAAATATAATTTAAGGAAAGGACAGTTTCTATATTGAAAACTTCCTGTGAAATATAATTTAAGGAAAGGACAGTTTCTGTAGTGAACAGTTTCTGTAAGGTATACTGTCAGGAAAGGACAGTTTCTGTAGTGAACCGTTTCTGATGAATATAACTTAAGGAAAGGTTAGTTTCTATAATGAAAACCCCCTATGAAATATAATTTAAGGAAAGGACAGTTTCTGTAGTGAAAACTTCCTGTGAAATATAATTTAAGGACAAAACAGTTTCTGTAGTGAACAGTTTCTGGAAAATATAATTTAAGGAAAGGGCAGTTTCTGTAGTGAATAGTTTCTGTAAGGTATACTGTTAGGAAAGGACAGTTTATGTAATGAAAACTTCCTGTGAAATATAATTTAAGGACAAAACAGTTTCTGTAGTGAACAGTTTCTGGAAAATATAATTTAAGGAAAGGACAGTTTCTGTAGTGAATAGTTTCTGTAAGGTATACTGTTAGGAAAGGACAGTTTATGTAGTGAAAACTTCCTGTGAAATATAATTTAAGGAAAGAACAGTTTCTGTAGTGAACAGTTTCTGGAAAATATAATTTAAGGACAAAACAGTTTCTGTAGTGAACAGTTTCTGGAAAATATAATTTAAGGAATTGACAGTTTCTGTATTGAATAGTTTCTGGAAAATTCAGAAAATTCAGAAAATCCAAAAATTCAGAAAATTCAGAATCCAGAAAATTCAGAAATCTTAAAAATCTAGATTCCAGAAGATTTAGAAACCAAAAAAAAGAATCTGGAAAAAATAGAAAATCCAGAATCCAGAAAATTCAGAAATCTTAAAAATCTTGATTTCAGAAAATTTAGAAACCAAAAAAAATGAATCTAGAAAATTCAGAATCCAGAAAATTCAGAAATCTTAAAAATCTAGATTCCAGAAATTTCAGAAACCAAAAAAAAGGAATCTAGAAAATTCAGAAAATTCAGAAATTCAGAAAATTCAGAAAATTCAGAATTTATATATAAATATAAAATATATATATATATTCAGAAAATTCAGAAAATTCAGAATTCAGAAAATTCAATAAATTCAGAAAATCCAGAAAATTCAAAATCCACAAACAAAAATAGAATCTGGAAAACATAGAAAATCCAGAATCCAGAAAATTCAGAAATTTATCTAAAAAAAAAACAGAAAATTTAGAAACTAAAAAACTGGAATCTAGAAAATTTAGAAAATTCAGAAGCCAGAAAAATTTGAAACCTTAAAAATCTAGATTCCAGAAAATTTAGAAACCAAAAAAAAGAATCTGGAAAAAATAGAAAATTCAGAATCCAGAAAATTCAGAAATCTTAAAAATCTAGATTCCAGAAAATTTAGAAACCAAAAAAAAATGGAATCTGGAAAAAATAGAAAATCCAGAATCCAGAAAATTCAGAAATTAAAAAAAATAGAATCCAGAAAAAAATATAAAAACAAAAAACAATAGAATCCAGAAAATTCAGGAAATCAAAGAAAAATAGGCTCCAGACAATTTAGAAAATCCTAAAGAAAATAGAATCCATATTTTTGTAGAAAACCTAAAAAAATAGAATTCAAAAAATCTAGCCAAAACAAGTTAGAATCCAGAAAAATTAGAAAACCAAAAAAGAAAGAGAATCTAAATTTTTGATTTTTCTTCTTTTGGTTCATCATATTCATGCCAATGTGTCAAAGTTGCCAGAAGCAGATGAAGATGACTTTCAACAGTTTGATTCATTCTTGCATTTTTTTTCTGCAGCTGCAACTCTAAGCTTCTTTGCTTCTTCTGTGCAAGAAAGGTTGTTGAGAGAATTTTTTAGCCTGACATCGTTTCATATCCAGGAAGCATGCACTCCAGAACTTTATCTATTCTTTTAAAACTTCATGACATTTCCAAAAACGATCCTTCACAGGAAATGTTCTTAACACAAAACATTTTTTTCTTGGGAGGAACTATACCACCAAAAAAAAAATATGGCAGTATTTTTCAGAGAATAGTTCCCTATAAGAAAATATTTTTCCAGGCAGTAACCGGCAGAGAACTGTTCCCTACCAGAAAAATAAAAAAAACAGGCAGTACCCTTGAGAGAACTGTTCCCTAAAGAAATAAATCTTTCCAGGCAGTATCCTGCAGAGAACTGTTCCCTACAAAAGAAACTCTTTCCAGGCAGTATCCGATCACATCTACATTCCTGTAAATCATCCATGAAAAATGCCGAAAAAAAGAAAACATCCTTATTTCTCTTATTTCTTATTTTCACTTATTTTCACTTATTTTCACTTATTTTCACTTATTTTCGCTTCGTTTAACTTACTTGCAAATAATAACCGCCTATATTTGCTTATATCTTCATTATTATGTTATAAGTTCACCTAAAAATTTAGAGGAACTTAAAAGAACATATTTTCAGATCTCATATTTAAACAAGATATTAGGAGGATAATAGTAACTTATAGTATACTTATAAGTTCATTAAGTGCCTGAAGTGCAAATATCTGCTTTTTGTGGTCTTAGTAGGATGTAGTCTTGGGGTCTTTGATCTCATTGATGTCTCCAAGAAAATGGAAACGTCCTTGTTGTGATTTGTAGTTCTTCTCGTTTGAAAATGAAGCATCTGTCACTGTAATGATACCAACCTCTCCCCAGGTTAGATGTCCACCTGGAAAAATAAGTTTGTTCTCAATACCTTGTTGTGCCAGTTGTACTACGGCATTTGCGTCGTGCAAAATAGCAACTGTCGCTCCAGAAATACTGGACTGTAGGCGGCTCACACGATAACCCAAATCGGGTCTAGTCTGCCTTGCCACCCATGCCAATGATCCCGTTACAGATCGTAATCGGGTCACATCATCCTTACCCAACGGCTCGGACGCTGATCTTCCTGGCGTGATCTTGATCGGCTTGATGCGACGGGTGTTGTCACAAGTGTCTTGTGTGATTGTTCCAT